TATATATATATATATATATATATATATTGATATATATATATATATATATATATATGCGCATGCATATATTGTATATATTTAAAGAGCAATAAGTAAAATTATTAAATAAAGTATATTATTGTGATCAAAAAATCTATAGATGTTAAGTATGAATGATATTTAGAAATATTTATTGTAATTATAAAAATTCCAATGCCTAATAATAAGCAATTAAGGTTCAAAACCCACTTATAAAAAAATCTTTGAAACTGCTGTTAATATTTATTATATATAAATACTGTTGAAAGTTGTTACTAAATAATTAGTTTTCGCCTAATTGCCTATTTTAGTAATACTTGTAGTTTGTGATTCCAAATGTGCATTTAATATATTTTTCTGAAGTAATAAAATGCCTTATTAATTCTTGCTCCATATGTTTACTAATTAAAAAGCTCCAATAAAGTACTTTTTCATTAAAAAGAAATTATATAAATTAGCACGTTCTTGGACGTGGTGCTACAGCATGCATCTTATAACGATTAATTATGATAATTATATAAAATCTGATTTTCCTTAGTTAGAGGTATTAGATATAGATTATGATTGTTTTGTAAGGTTTTGTACCTTCCTGATGCTTTTACTACCTGCGAATGAGTTAAGCTTTAAGAGCCTTCGTAAATTCAGGTACATACAAAATATTTTCATACAAAAAAGAATTGTATGTGCCTCTATTCAAGAGAAGTAAATTGAAAATTATTAAAATAACTCAATTATACTAATATTTGATGTTAATTTGTTCAATGATTGATTACTACACTTTACACTAAATATACTATATATCATATTGCATTCGACAAGATCATCGTAACACAAGTATATTTCCTTTGAGGACTTGCAATGAATTGATATTCTGGATTCATTAAATATTTTGAATATAGATTTTATGTATTTACTTGTGCAATAAACTTAATATTTATGAATTACAAAAGTGTCTCGTAGCCACAGTATTTTTTTTTAGGAACTACATTTATTGTTGAAACAAAAATGATACCTATAAAAATGACATGAATCCATTTATTGCATCAAAGCACACACTTAAATTTACTTCATAGAACAAACCACTGAAACTAAATAAATGAACTTGTAAGCAATGTGTGATACTATTAGGTTATGTTAAAAATAAGAACCCATCGTGTGTTTCAAAATTTTTATTTGAGACATTTTAATTACAAATATATTATTGTACTTCCATTGTGGATCCTGATGTCTCCTCAGTGTATTTGCCCTTATCTTTGCCAAGTGCTGCCAAACGTCCTTTAGCTCGCCTGTCAATGATTTTCTTACGGTCCCTGTCCATTTTCAATTTGACTATAACACATTTTGAGGGATGAATACCGACGTAAACGCTGTTACCATTGGCCTTTTCTCTTTGAATTCTTTCAATGTATACTACAAATTTCTTTCGGTACACTTGAACAACTTTACCGACTTGTTGGCCTTTGAAGTGCCCCCTTACGACTTGTACTTCATCATCCTTACGTATGGGCATAGATCTCACATTGTACTTTTGTCGAAGTTCTTTCGATAATGGAGAGGTCATTAACGTTCTCCTTACATGTGAGGGAGCGGTGAAATGCCTCTTCCTATTTTTGCTTCTCGAAGAAGTAACCAACTTGTTAAACTTCATTTTTATTTATTAACCAAAAGGTTAAGTGACAACAACACGTTTTTCGTACAAACGGAAGAACAAGAAAGATTGAGGTATGAGGGAGGATGTATTACAGAAAGTATTGCGTGAAGTTGATTGCATTTTACTCGGCTATGCCAACATTGCGGAAAGCTTATTGCCGCATTAGAAATATTTTCTTTGATGATGCTAGTACGTTAAAATTCAAAAGACAAAATGCAAATTAAATTAAAATTAATTTCATTAACCCTTTCCACTCAGATGCCGCCACAAAATACGTATTAATTCTGCATCCGAGTAATAAGTGTTAATATAATTAATATTAATTTATTTTGCCTCTTGGCTTTTTGAATTATAAATATTGTTTCATCCATGATAAACTTGAACTCAGATGCAACGAAGATTTAAGTTCATCTTAGTGTTTAAGTATGTAGTTAGAAATATCTATGAAAAAAATCAATAATTAAAGTACAAATTATAATTTTTATGACCTTCATTCGCAAAAATGTCACTTACTAATACGATATGAATCAGGAAATTTTAACTATTTGTATACTACTGGTGCATAACATCGTGCCTTAAAGCAAATTGCAGAAACTACTCGTATCGAAAATATATATTCTTTTAAAAGTTTTAACTTTTTCTAAAACTTTGATACAAAATCAATTTTAAAAACTTTGAAATTATTGAGAAAATTAAGAACTTTTTCCAAAGCAATCGTGCTTTTGCGTAGAGACAAATTAACGAAGCGCGTAAGCGCCGCGCCGCAGTATATCGGATAAACATTGATACGAGTCCCATAAAAACGTAAACAAAATTCATACTTAATATTAAAATCTCTATACAATATCTGTGAAAATTTCATGCGCATGTTTTTTTATAGAATCTCCGAGACCGCTACATCTGCCTTCCCAACAATTTAATCAGTTATTTATTTTGTCAAAACAAGTAAAATGTTTTTCGAATAATTGAAATCGAACCTTCCGTTCTCTCAAAAATTTAATTACCGTTTTTGGCTCATTTTGCACTATATCTTAGAAACGGCTGAATCTGCCTTTGCAAAAAACTAATCAGCATATTTCCTTTATTAATAAGAATCGAATGATTCAGAAAAAACATGATTGATCAATCATTTCGATTTCAAAATCGGTTGATCAGTGTTCTCAAAAACGTCAAAAAAAATTGTATCCGCACATACATACACACACAACGGTATGCCAAAATATTCGGAAAAAGATATAATCATTACCGATTTTTTTGCGGTTACTTAACTTACCCTACGGAAAGTTGCAATATAATAAATAAACACATCAGTAACTATGAACTAGAGCATAAAAATGTTTGTTTGAAATTTAACTACCGATGCTATCAAGTACTATCACTATCGCAACATGTGGTTATGTTGCCTCTGTTGTCAACGGCTGACTATAAATAATTTTCCTGATAATAATTTATCGCGTTTGGGTAGATAGTTAGTAACTGCCGAACAATTTCTTAAATAACTAATTAAATAGAGGATTACTCATTCGTTCGCTCTATAAAATTATACTTACATTAAGTAAGTAAGTTACATCAGTTGACGCTGTTCTTCTGCTCGAAATATTTTATTGAAAACGAAAATTTACGAAGAAATTATATTAATTATTATTCCTCAACTCTCACATACTTATAAACTTTCCATTAAATTGATTACCATTTATAATTTATGACACAATAGAACAATATGCACAATATACAAAAATGTCTCACAATTGCCAATAAATGAATTTCGTTTACACCCGACGCATAACAACTAAGAAATTTCTTTTAATTTATGAAAATTTTGAAATTTTACAAATATCTGAAACAACTTGAAGAAATAAAATTTTAGAAGTTTTAAAAAAACTATTTTGATCTTTTTTCTTTCTTTTAATGTTGTAGTTTCTTCAAATTTCTGAACGAAATTTAAATGTTTCATTTGAAGTATAAAACATTATCATTACAATAAAAATTGTAATATTATTGCATTATTGGTATCAACTCAAAAATTTGTAACCAAAACTATGCATATTATTAAAATTTCTATATGAATAATGGATAATTTCTATAATAACAGATAATTTTATCTGCATATATCTAATTATCACTTTTGACCATCGAATGACCATTCTTGCAGGTATTTCTTCAAAAGTGCTGTGCACCGTTGACTTTCGCAAAAACTAGAAAATTTTGACGCCGACGATACAAATAAACTGCTTTCTGAATCATTGAATGAGTCATATCCATACCATTTATTTTCATTTCCAAAGTCTTGGCAAATAAAATTTGGCATCGTTTCTATATCTTTTAAGATAGTTTTGATTGTATTTTTCAATTGTCATATCATATGAATAGCTAGTCGTTGCTACTTGATAGATTGTTTGAGTCATCATATAGCAATATTTTTTCTTACATAATGAGTTATATTATATCTGGTCTTTCAATTGAAATTGATGTATCACCAGTCCTAATCTCAAATTAATGTTATTCTCTACACATTTTAGAAAAATATGTGTATCTGAAAGTTGCACCAAAGTCTTGGCATTGTGTACAACTGTACATCATAATATAAAAATTACTTTCTTTCTCGTTCAACTAGGCGTCGAAATTGAAAGCAATTACAGTTTGGTACTTGGTATTATTCGAAAACCACCTTAAGAATCTATGTCAATACTATGTTGATGTGATTTGATTGCTTTCCTATGTTTCATCATTCCATTTCATCTTTCCATTTTATATAAAAATATCGCTTAGTTGAGCTTTTAAATTTGATAACTGAGCATATCATCTCCTCGCACATCTATGAAAACATTCCACACATATCTAAATATGATTTATACTATTGCTATACTATAAATATCTAAATATTCATAAATTTTACTAATTATTTACAAGTTTGAAAATAAAATATTTTATTTTCACAGTAGAGAGAAATTTTAATAATATAGGAAAACGATAAAATAAAATGTAATTGTTTAAATAACTATATTTTTATTAGGCACATATATAAATTAACATTATAAAAATTTACATACATGCATATATATATATATATATATATATATATATATATATATAATTTTGATATATTATCTAAAAATTATAAAGCTATAGATATAAAATATACATATTTTAACTACAATGAATTGAATATTGTTCTGGCGTTTTGCAACAATAACAAAATATATAGGTGATTTAAATAACAAAATAATACTAATATTTTGAACCGAATCCTAAACAATCTCTATAATTTGAATTAAATTCAAATTACTGAAATATATAGTTATACAAATAAGCATATCTATGATCACTTGGGATGTATGGTATATGTTTATATGGACATACGTACGATTAGTTGTGTATATAAACATTTACGCAATGGAAATTCATTATATAAAATAAGGGTGCATATTCATTACCATATACATATCCACATATACACGTATATACAAAGCACAAATCTTAATTGTGATTATAAATTTGTAATTAAAAAGTTTAAATTCTTTTACTAGGTGGAATTAAATGTGAAGGTAATTCATTTGGTAATTCGTGTCCATCAATCTTAACCTGTATCAAATGCATTGCGAGTGCGAATTCGTCAGAGTCCAAAGCCCCATCTTTGTCAACATCTGATAATTTCCATATTTTTCCAAGAACGGAGTGTGGCAGTTTCGATTTCAACATCTCAGTTTTCGCAGCTAAAATATATAACAATATATCAATTTGTTGAACTGGGTTTATATGAAAATAATTAACAAATATGAATAAAGAAAATATAAATTAATGAATAGTTTTAATCATTTTTTAAAAAACTGTCAGCAATATTTTCAGTTTTCGTGTATGATTTTATTAATTAAAGTGTTTTACTCATTAACAACTATTGTTCAAGTTCTTTCAATATATATGAAGTACATTTATTACTTTAATTAATTATTGACAAACGTTGCAATTGAAGCCCATAACACTTTTTTGCTTTGAAGATGCATTAATAAATAAATACATTAATTTTGAATTGACTTCATTCTTGCTCTAATTGTTCTCAAATGAAAAATCAAAGAAACAAAGCTTGAATAAAATGATAGCTATGGGCACATTAATATACAAATCGACATTTGACAAAGAAAACTCGATATCCTACTTTTCAGCATTCTATCTTATAATTTAGTCCTGAAATGCTGAAATTGGCGTGTTTTATTAATTCTGGTTTCATGGATGTTATTATATTCAACACAAATAATTATTCATTTATACTTGAATAAATAAATAAATCGGAAGAAGCGAATAAAAAAATAAATTTTCATATGCATTTCGATGGTCAATAGTAAACAATTATTCGTTATTAGTAACAAAGATATAACAGAAATTTTATCGCATGCTATTGAATGCTCATAGTTGAAAGAGTGAACCTGTGGAAGTGGATAAACTGACCCAAAAATTTTTAAATTCAAATATCCTGAATGATAAAAAATGATTCGTTAGATATTTCTGCAGAAAATTCAACACTATGTTTCCGTTTAGTGATTCTAATTCTATATAAAATATCACTCATTGAGATTTTATATTTGCGCTATAGAGAGAGGAGTGGCTTCAGACTTCAACACATTGTCAATATTCTTAGACTGTGATTTTTTTGGAGAATATGAGTTTATTAGCATGCATTCCCTTCAAAAAATATAATGTTTCATTGACTTTACACGCAAATATAGAATAAATTGTCAACGCCGTAGATTGAGAAACGTTATCCAATAAAAAACGCAAAATGAACATTGGTGCGACTGAAACTGGAAGGTGTCTTTTCCGCGGTGGTCTAAAATATTTCGATGAATGTCAAATCATTAATGTATTAGAAAATTGTACATGCATTGACTACAAAGGATGAACATTGAAAATTTTGTAATGATTACATTGTAGCCGGTATCAGAGCATTCTTACAGATGTATCTGATGATGAATTGCATGGTTCAACAATCATGTGCGCTTTATATGTATTACATAATTGTGTCGTTTATAGGAATGTCGTTTGATAGCTTATGTCAACGCCAAAAAGTAAAAAAGAAATCGAGTCCTGGGATTTTCATTCAAATCTTGACCAAATGATGAGGTATCAGGTAAGAAACTGATACAAGACATTTTCTGAATTCCTTTAAGGCTTAGACTATAAATAGCTAATAAATAGCTTTAGCACCATTGACCATTTCAAGCTTGCTCATCATTATTTAAAATAATTTTCAACAGCTTTGATAGATTATCAATAACGATATAAGAATTTAATTAGAAAGATAATTCATGCTTTTCGAATATGGAAAAATACATCTATAATTGCAAGATATTAAACAGATTGCTATTTTGTATTACAAGAATTATTTTTCGTTTTTAAATCCTCGGTTTTCTAATAGGTGTTTATAACAATAGTTTAATTCATTACTTAAAATAAAAGCCATAGAAAGCTTTTAAATTTTTTTTAGCCCACAGTACTGTGGATTAGTTGGCATTTAAAAACTATTGAGCAATTATAAAATAAAACATTACAACTTTGCATTTGATTAATTCAAGCAAAAATGGTTTCTGAATTTGGTTTCAAATGAAATTTCGAAAATAATTTACCTGCGCCAGTAATCTTTCCATCAATAGGATTCAATGTTTCAAATTTAGCATCGTAATTGTGTTTCTCCTTTTTGACTATCCATTCTGGTTCACCTGCACCAGCATCTATGCCTTCTCCTCTCTTGTATCCAAAAGGTGAAATGGTATCTTCAACACCAACGAAAGCACCGCCTACAATAAAATTATTCATGTTAAAAATAATGAATAGGGTATAATTAGTATTAAATTTTTATCCAAGTACTATAACTACTGAAATCCTCACTTTTTAATAAAAAAATCTTGCATTACTGTTCAGATAATTATAATAAAAAGCATTAAGGGGGTCTTCCTATGTGATGGGTTGGAAAAATCGATTTTTTTTTTTCATAAATTGCTCCCTTAACATGTCGGTAGTAAAGCGATTTTAGAAAATTCGAAGCCGTTTTAAAGATACAGCAGGTAAAAGAAAGGGCGGTTCGGAGCGCTGAGTTGGCAGTTAGAAACTTTAAACGTTTTCCTCAAAACTGTGTTTTTGAAACTTTCCTCCATTGTATCTCAGAAACGGCTGGACCGAATTACTTGAAATTTACAGGGCACACTCAATATATTTAAACGCATGGAATCAACTATTATCAATCGAAAATTTATAGCAAAGAACAAAAAAAAACGCCTAATTTGCAACTTTTATTTAAAATGTCTATCAAAAATCCAATTTTTTTTATATTCATTTGATTATAGGTCATTCCGTGCTTAGCCTACAAATTAAAACGCCGTTTATTTTTTTTTTTTCAGATAAGCCGATCAGCCGGAATCGTGGAGGAAGTGGGAGCTCTTTTTTTCGAGGCGGGGGTGTTCAGAGCGCTGTAACTCTAGTTTGACTGAATATTTTTAGCTGAAATTTTATATTTATACTGTCCAAATATGCGTTAATAAACGATAAAAAGCTCACATAGGAAGACCCCCTTAAACTTCTAACGTAAGAATAAGTATTACTATAATAACTACGTAAGACTTAAATTTGCTATTAGCCAATAGTAAATCTTTAAAACGTCCTTTTATAGCAGTAAAAACCAACAAACTTATCACTCTATAGTCTATGCTAATATTATAATGATTTATAAATTTTATAGTAATTGGTTTTTACTTCTGGATAAATAATCGATTGATTAGTTCCTTTGGTTGAAAGGCCGTTCTTTTCTATAGAACTTACAAGAATAAACACTTATTATTTTTGTTAAAACAATCATTTCTTCAATTTTTTTTTAAAAAGTATCTACTTTTATATGTCGAAAATAATTCGAATTTTAATTTTAATTCTAGAAAAAATTCTAACGCTCACTTATATATTTGCTCACTTCAGGCTATATAATACTAATGAATGAGGTAGGTCCTTTAATTCTAACTCCACTTGATTAAGTTTTGTTTATTTAGTTTTTATGCATACATAAACGTCATCGTCCAATTTATAAGCTTATTTTGTCTATAAAATACGAATAATAAAAGTTACAGTATTTATAATAATATATCTGAATGAAAACATTTATTACTCTTCGAATATTTTATTACGGTACCGAAAGTTCCAGCAATTTCCCTTAAAGCACGATGCCATTCACCACTAGTTCTATACTCTTCTTTTATCTACGACTTTAAGTTTCACTCATGAGCTCTCAAAGCATAGTATAAAATTCTGCACATAGGTGAATTCTCGTTACTTTTTTAATATTTATATCTATTTTTAAGTTACGTATTTTGATATGCACAGTTTCTTAGTTCAAACATTGTAACAATAATTATGATAAAAATATATTAAGAAAAAATTAGAAAATTAAGAACATTTCAAAAAATTTGCTACAATCTGGAACATTAAACTTGAATCCGGCAGTATCTTTCTTTCTTTTTGATAGATAAAATGCTGTAATACAACGAAATGTTTAAATCATGAGACTCTAACAATATTAATTTAATAGAACCCATTTAAATAATATGCGGGTATAATAAAAAACTGTCATGCTAATAATTATTATATTAGTAAAAATTGTTAGTCGAATAAAATGATTGTTCAAAGATTTTAAACTTTGAAAGAAACAAACTACTGTAAATAACATTCTTACTTGAAATTTTAGAACTTTAAATATTTCGAGTTAAATATAGCAAGTGAGACTAATATCAAATCAACTAATTTTGCTAATAAATTCATGGGCAGAAAAATGTAGTAAACAAAGTACAAAATACAGATTATTGAAACAATTATTTAAAATATTAACTTAGATTTATATTTTCAAATAATAACAAACATTTATACCACTTTTTCTACGAAAAATTAGGAAACGAATGTAATAATTCTTTTTTTCGTTTTCTATTTTTATATTATATATAAATGTAATGATGTAAAATATCTAATGGAGAAGTATAATACCAAAGGATAGACTTATGTTACAATCCACGATCATGTTGTATACATATTATATATTGAAATATATCTTTTTTGAATTGAAAAACAAGTAAATTGAAAACGAATGTAATGCCTTTATCAACAACCAATAAACTTTGTGCTTGGTCAGCTTTTTGCCTTATAATTATAGCCATGTCACAGATATAGTGAAGTTATGAAAAAAAGACCTGATTATTTCATGATTTTAAATCATTCAAATATTCATGAGGAATAATTTCATATCTAAAAGGAAGTTTAAGCAAATAGCTGAAGACTGCCTAAAGTAAATTTCAAAAATAAGTCAACCATTTAATTTGAATATCATGTCTCTAATAATCTCAATGATGTGTTTGTGCAATTTTGCTTAGCACTGGATAACCCACATATTGTAATGAAGATAATAAGACGACTATATGGTGCTTAACGGTTATGATTTATAAGATGTATTTTATTTAGCTAAACTAAATAATACAGGGTCCGCCAAAAATAACTTTTTTTGTTAGCCATTATTATAACCATTTTCCATTATTAACCGGAAGGATTTTGTACTTTCAAATAAAAAAAGACAAAATTTTCAGTAGTTCTTCTGCATCCAACAGTTAATCCATCCATAGTTTTATTATTTTTTATTATTGGAATTTAACTAACAGGGCTGACTAATTATTCAATTTGGTACTTCAATGTCCGGGAAGGGCTATTTTCACTTGAAAACATATTTAAGATCTATATTTCTAAGTGAAAATTGATATCGCTACTGCTCGATATCAGGCTTGTTCGTGACGGGAATTGAACGTTTGATTGAACCTACGAGCTATACATTCCCACACGAAGTATAATTTTTTTTTATTTCAATATCTTTTACAACTATTAAATAACATCTATTAACATTAGATAATGAATAATGGGTGTGCTGCCCCAGGGCAGGTCCGTGAGCCGAGTTAAACTCCAACTCGATTCCGGGAAGAAGAGTGTGACACATTTCCCATTGCCATTTCACACCGCAGTGCCCTAGATGGGCTTATTTTCAATTGGAAACATATTTTTGATCTATATTTTCAATTGAAAAATTAAAGAACATTAATATATACAACAGAACATTAGATATATAAATATAATATAATACAAAATAAAGGACAGCATTTTAATTGAAATGATATCCGTATTACAATATATATGCAAATTGCTAGAACTTCCCGTACCGTAACGAGATGTATTACGAGGAATATTATGTTTTAAATAGATTATTATAAATACTGTAATATTGTCTAATATTTATAAGAATTATATAATCTGAATTGCAAAGTTGAAATTATTTGTTTAAAGTATATTAGAACAGAATTAAAATAAAAATCTGTATTTTTTTTGATATACAAAAAAAAAATTGAAGAAAATTTTTGAAACAAATATTGTTTTTTTTTTTCAAAATCAATTATTTTTGATAAAACAAGCAGAAAGTTTTTTGAATCATTCAAAACGCTTAGTTTCCTCAAAAACTACCATTTTTTGCACATTTAGCTCTGTATCTCCGAAACCGTTGGACCTGCCTTTGCCATAAACTAATTACCACTTCTACCCGTCATTACAAATTGAATGTTTTTTGGATCATTCAAATCGGATGCTCCGTTCTCTCAAAAACTCGATTTTTATTTTCTGCACTCTTTGCTTAGTATCTCCGTAACGGCTGGACCTTGCCAAAAACTAATCAGCACATCTCCCTATCGATAGAAATCGAATGTTTTTTGAACCATTCAAATCGGTTGATCCGTGCGCCCGGAAACGTGACTGAAAATTTGTATCCATACATACATACATACACACACACACACATCCATTTTTTTCTGAGGTATGCCAAAATGTTCAGAAACCTTCAAAACGTCGAGAAATGTAAAAATTTTCAATTTTGATTTTCGGCCCATTACAATAACTTACCCTACGGGAAGTTAATAATGATCATAATAAAATGAATAAATAAAATTGTAATTAGAGAAAATATTAGAAAAACAGTAAAACACGATAAAAACAATAAATAACAAGTGATAATAAATATAACAAAATAACAATATTAGAAATAATAAGGCTTTCTAATTTATATTTGATCTCTTCATTTACCGGCATCACGTTTATGCCCTGGTTTCGGTATTGTAATCCCATGTCCAAATATTTCATAACCACAATATAACTCAGATGATAATATATATAATGTAGCTATAAATTCAAAATATCTAGTTAAATATCGATGATTATATTAGTAAAGAGTCCGAAATATAAATTTATTTGTATGTACAATATATTTATTCAGAGTTGTGGTCTAAACAAATTTTTCTAACGGTATGTTCCATCAAATAATTTATAAAGCAAACTTTAGCACGAAATCCAGAACAACATGATCCTTCCGGCAATTAAAATAATTTGAAACTAGTGGTGTATCGCATCGTAATTCAAAGCAAAGTGCTTGAACATTTAGTACTATAATAAAATATTCGAAGAATATTAAATGATTTCAAATATATTAATATGTCTCCCCATCATTAGAAATCGAATGGTTTTTGAATTATTCAAATCGATTAATCCGTGCGTCCAAAAAAATAGACAAAAATTGTATCCTTAGACATACACACGTCCGTTTTTTTTTAAAAGTATGCAAAAATGTTCAGAAACCTCTAAAAAGTAAAGATATGCAAAAATTTTCAATTTCAATTTTTGAACAATTACAATTATTTACATTACGCGAAATTAAAAAATAAAACCAATTCCTAATAAT